TCAAAGTTGGCGAAGGTAGGGTTCTTCGTCCGCATGCAAGGTCTTAAGTCTCAAGTCTAAAGTTCCACCAGTGAGCGTGAGGATCCAAGGAGAGAGTAGTGCTTTTATATCCTTGGCATTTATTTCACGGCTTGCACATTGGAGTACCTAATCCAAGATAAAGCCAAGCAGCCCAATATCTAGATCGGATATCTTCGATATTACTATACATGTATAGTGGTAGGCATTTTTCCCTACTAGCATCTACCTCATATACACTAGGTACACTATTACATATACCTATACCTACCTTAGCTGGCCTAGATACTACCACGCAATTGCGTGTATGGGAAGGGTCCCCAAGTCCTAACACGTGTGGATCAGGGCAGAAAAATGGGCATGTCAATCCAGAATGACGGGGTGCCTGAACCAAACCGAAAACATGCCATTTCTGGGTCTGACCCCTGCCTCGAGCATTAGCGTTAGAACGATCCACCAAATCAATCATTCGCGGGCCGTTGACCCCAGTCCCCTTACTCGGTAGGGGTAGTAGGTTCTTTTTCAAACTCCGGGGGGGTGGTGGTGGTGGTAGTGCACGCCGTACCGCACCAAGGGCATACATAAGAACTTACCTCGTTTGTTTAAGATACGAGGAGGAAACACATGCGAGCCGGTAGTAGCTCGCACGGAATGAGCCGAGAACCTTGCGTCTCTTGTTATTAAGGGAATGAGGCTCACTAAAAGGATCGTAAGATGTTAGTATGTATCGAGTTAGGCCTGTGTCCAGGGGGTGGTTTATCTTACGCACGAAAAGGCAGGAAAAGACAGAAAAGGAAAAGAAAAAAGGGGGCAAGAGGGGACAATGAAAATTCCCTCTCTTTTTCTCTTTTACTATTACTATGTAATCGACAACAATAACTACCGAGATAGGTAGGTACGGCTTTAAGTGACAGATGACCTATCAAACGCATACGCCGCGCGTCCGTCCTGTAACGGCGTGGTGGCCTCTTGACCTGTTTTGGGCATGTTGCCCGTAGGGCTGTCGCGGGACCAGGGGAGCTAGCTTGCCGTCTGTCAAATTTGAGACACAGAGCCTCTCTCAGCAACCTGACTACCGCCAGGCCGGTGAGGGGCTTACCGCAGAGCTTGTAAATGAGGGACGAGGGCCGCACGGCTGCTAATTTCGGGTTGCCCAGGCGGTATGCGAGTGGATTTGCAGAGGCCTTGCAAGTGACACGCATCGATGAAGGGGTATGGGGAGGCGGTCTAGGGGGGGGGCCAGCGAGCCGCGGGAGGCTCAATCCTTTTCATTGGATCCGGTGCAGCGCGGAGGGAAGCCGTCAAAACGCCATCTCGATTTTGCCAAGCTCAGGTCGGGAAGATTGGCCGCCACAGCAGGTTGGTCTATCGCAGTTGATCTAGCAGTCTAGGAAGTTCAAGGTTGTTGAAACGGCTCGACCTGCCAGCGTTGCAGGGCGTTGCAGGGCCACGCATGTAAGATCCTGGGGTCGCCAGCCACTCGTTCGTCGGAACCGGGAAACGCCGAGTGTTTGAAGGAGGCAAAATGCTATTCGCCGTCAAGTTCAATCGGCGAGCGCTCTGGTGGTACGGGATAGTCTGCTCAGCAAGAGTTTGCGCGGGCTCGAGAAGTAAGGAGACATCGTCGTTGTTGGCCTCGCCGTCTTAAGTTGCTATTGAGCGCTGGTGAGCGCCGAGTGGAACTATGTGGGTAGCAATGGGCGTCGGTTTTAAACAACTCGAGCGATATGATCGACCTCGACGTCGCCAATGACGCACTGAGCCGACGGTTTCTAGAACTTGATAGCTGCAAGACGGGAAGAGACAGGCTTACGCCACCCGCTTCGTGACTAAGAGCTGATGCGTGGAGAGTGGCCAGAGTTTGGGATATAGTACGCGTGGTAGGTAAATATGTATGGGTAGTATGCAGCATGCACATGTGGCTGACGAATACGTCTTTATCGTTTCCTAGCCTGTCGTAATCATTGGTAATGCGGAGCTGGTGATGGAGACCGGTAGGAGTCCGACTCTGCGTGGTTCTGGCCTGTACCGTAAGGCCTTACGGCATACATACGTTTACCGGCTGCGGTTATACCTCACCCAGAAGAAGTGTCTACCTGGGTAGTGAGATGATGGGTTAGCTACCTACAACTACTACCACTGTAGCATGAAAAGACATATATGGAGGGACCCTAAAGTTGGAACTCGCATATGCACGAGGAAGCAATAAGACGCCAAATCATATGATGCTTATTCTTACACCCTCATACTCCAGCCTATCTCCGTTAAATAAGCAAGTATAAACAGCCCATTGCTACAGCATATGAGACTATGTAGACGTCATCGAGATATCATCAGCAAATGTACCTAAGGTATACCTCTCAGTGAAACCTCTTGGTTCTTGGGTGTTCGCGCTCCTGTCTATAACTGGTTTTGGCGCCCACAGAGGTCCAATGATATACTAGCATCAGCTAATATTTTTCTCAGAGTAAACTGCGGCCGAAATTTAGGCCCGAGATTGGAGTGCGATCCCCTCTTTAGGTATGATATGGTAATCATCGCCATGTCAGTAAAGTCTTTCCGGGCCTATAGCAAGGGGGACCACCGAATTTATAGATAACATGCCGTTGACAGCTGCTTTAGTCTCCATACTACTGCAGGTCAGGGCCACATAGAATAATCCTAGATCTGCCAATATCTGAGCTTTTTTTACACCGAGAGGTGGTCAGCTGTACGGGAGTACCGTAGTAGTTTAGTCTGAGAAACAGGATGCAGACAACACAACACGTTAAGGTCGGACGAGAATACAGAATGTGAGTTAGCTTGCTATACCAATGCAAGTGGCTGAATAAGGACAATAGTCTTAAGTTAAGATAGAGATAGGGTTGCCTAGCTGACATGTAATTCTTGAATCATATTAGGATTGGAACTGTATAAAATAGAATTGATATTGCTACGAACCCACTACAGATATCACAAACCCCTATAATACCTACACGGTTTCAATCAGCTTGAAACTGATTGGTTTAAACATTTTAATTACTTGTTTTTTAATTGGTTCGGCAGGAATGACTTTTATTCAACCCTCTAGTACGAGTGTCAGGCAACGTCATGTAGTTCTAGATAGATTCGATGCATGCAGGTGCTTAAGCCTCCATGTAGGTACCCATCTACATTTCCTAAACTTTCTTTTTGTTAAGAAAGGAATTAGATACCGGCGAGTTATAATCACACTGAAAGCCCAAGATAATCATTAGATATTAGTATATTTCATGCTGGCCAACACCACGTCCTGTACTTGCAACCATTTCAGGGGTAACCGATATATATAGCGTTCTATTATGCCGTATACCTTAGATAGGTACCTATACAGAAAATCGAATATCCTCTGACAGAAGAAGTTATCAAGAGAAGGAATCTATCCATATACCAATCCATCAACTTGTTAATCCTAACATATTAAAGAACCTATAAGTTCCCTATAAAACCTAATTACGGGGCCCCTTGTATCTTGTCACATGAAGGAGATATGAGAGATTAATGAAAGCATTCAATATGGGAAGTGGAAAGTCGTAATTTTAGAGCAGAGGAATGAGGTCAAACGTTTCTAGAATGAATATGGTATGGTTATAAAGTCATTCAAGTCTACGGATTTCAAATCAAGTACCTTTGTTTGGTCAGTCGGTCGAACTTGATAGCCTTCATTACCACGTGGCTATATCGCCGACAAGACGTGACGCATCAGTAATTAATTCCTCGGGCATGAAAAGGCCATCTAATCGATATTGGCCCAATTTTGAGTACCTACATAGATTAGGTTTCCTTAAATAAAGTGCATGTATATAGAAAGGCGCCTGCATCAACAGTAAACAAATACTGGCTTAGTATGTCTGCCTGAAAAGGGGCACGTCAAGCCATGTACTAGGGGGGTTCCTTCGTAAACGAGATGGAAACGGAGGCCACTCCGACGCTGCTTTCAACATTCTTTTAGTTGGTCCTTTAGAGCATACGACTACTTTCTCACCCACTCTTGCCCATTCCTAAGCCTCCTCCGGTTGCCCCCGAGCTCCTGGCGGCAGCCTATGGGGTTTGTCGACTTAACGAGACATTGGTAGCATCTAAGCCTGCCTTTCTCCGACAGAGCAGCATAATGCGCAAACAAGTCGAGGATAGCGCCATCCATGACAAAAGCCGTGATCTCAGCGTCGCCAGTAGGGTCAGATTTTCCTATATAGGAGAGAACCTAGTTCCTCTGGTAGATAAGAGCAGCTCCGTTGTAAGCGCTCTGGATCCTCGCTTCTTCCATATATCACTCCCCTTTCACTTTCCGCGCCCCTTCCACCCCCCGGTCAGGGAGAGGGGATCGCCCTTGTAAAGAACGGCTTCGCTAACATGCTTGTTGGTCGGAAATGGGTCATACTCTTCCATCCGAAGGCCCTCAATATAGTCAGGGCGCGGAGCTGGTAGGCTATTGTTAGCAATACGGTATTGGTGGCCGCGGCTTGATCGCAGTGGACCAATACATCCGTCGAGGCGCCTGAGTACCTAACCCAAGGCGTACCTAGGCTCGTGGTTGTTGATTATCTGTTTTATTTATCAGGTATGTACCTTAGGTAGGTGAGTAAGGTAATCTATAAAGGGTACACTTCACGTTTAATACTATAATAGATATAGACATATGATCATATATTTGTAATGTAAATACGACACGGCGTTTATAAATTGATAAAAGGTCTTTACTGTGGTATAATAGATCAAGTAATCAGCGCTACAAGTAGTATCCATCAAACATCCCCCCTATTCCATCGTCCATCCATCATTTGTCCCTTCAAATAAGCACTGTTCAAAATAATACGCCGAGACACCATAGGAACTTGGGAACGGAATATCCCACTCTAGTCTAGAAGAGAGCCGCTACAAGACTCCCCAACCATGGATATAATATGTATATCTGAGCAGAAATCTCAGCAATATACCACCGATAACTTGCCTCACTCCTTAACCCCGTTTATTTCCGCATACCCGACGGCTTAGTATATTACGGCAGTTTCTCGTCAACGAAATCATGATAGTCCGAACGCTTATCCATATCCATATCCACCCTAAATATATCCCAGATGATAGATACCATAAAGTTATTGTTGCTTTGTCATCCACAGCGCGAAATGTAGTCATCGTATCAGCCATAGAACTGGCAGTGATTGAGGCAAGGGTAATCTTATCATGGTGTATCCGGACGAGCGCTTCGCATTATCTTATTTAAGAAGCCTCGCCCGGGGCCTAATGCTGATCGTGTTTTCTTCTCGGGAGCGGCCGTATCGGAAGTTGATTTAGAAGGGGCGGATCCTGACCCTTTTTTGGGTATTGCGTCGTGGCTCAGATGTTCATCTTCGGATTCAAGCAAGTCGTATTCCGACATAGAGAGCTTGTCCGCGGCCCGTTTGTAGTCGGAGGAATCCGGAGCAGCCTTGCCCATACTGACGCCCTTTCCGGCTTCTTGCATCTTAGCAATACCACGTTCCAAGTGAGCTACCATAGGACCTTTGATGGTCCAATTCCCGTCTGGTTCACGATCCGCCACCTCTCTGTATAGATCCGGTTCTCTCTTTTCGAATTCATGTTCGATTTCCCTCTGGTGCTTCGACGTAGCCTCAATGCGCTCACTCTTGACCGCTGGCACAAGGTCAGTCATTTGTACCCTATCTTCTTTCCCAAGAAGCTTGAGCCATTCGTCGTATTGCTTATGACTATCCTTCTATAATAATGTTGTCAGTATAATAGCTAGGCATTGCTGCGACTTGTATCTGGACTTACCCTCTTCTCACACGAAGATTCCTCTAGACTAGCAAGATACTCCTGCGCACTGCTTTTCATACTCTTACCCACAATATATTTGTCGAATGATGCTGAGAATTCCCGGAAGTGGCCCTTAAGCACAAAACACTGACCAGTCCAACCTTTGCTCTTAAGTTTCTGTAGAAGCGCGTCTGCAACGGGTGTCTCCCAAGGATACTCGACTACCTTATCATAAAATACGACGCATTTGCTTGCGTACCAGTTATTGAATGAGTTGCGGCTTTCCTCATCCAGAAGTGCCCTTTCAATCATTTCCAGAGTTGCTCGGGTTACGAAGGAAGCGGGTGCCCTGAAGTTAATCGCACTATGAATATGAGACTGAGCGTACTCGGCTGGTGAGCGGAGATCAAATATCACAATCTGATCCTCTGGGAATATTTCCAGCAGTCTGTTAAGGTGTCCGGGAAGAATCATTTGAGCCCCGAGGTTAGGAGGTTCTCTACTTTGGTCATCTATCTTCAAGCTCTGCAGTCGATTCTCAACTTCTTGTTGCTCTCGCCGATTTTCGAACCAAGCCTAAACTATGTAAGCCCAAATACTGTGGTATCATCAAGTAACACTTACGTCAATGTCCGCAGTTTCTACGCCAAGGGTTGACGCGAGAAATTCCATGACGGCAATAGTCGGTAATGGGTTACCCTGGAAATATTCTTCCAATCGTGTCTGAGCGTGTGGTGGGAGCTCAGGTTGGCTAGCTACAGATGCTAGTGATGTTCTCCGCATGTTCCAAGGTTTATTGATAGCTAGGTGCTGCGCTATATTGTTATAAGACACGCTCTTATGTAGTGAAGCACCTGGAATAGTGCGTTGCCTCGATTGCCATCCCCCGCTAGACATCTGGTGGCTCTTAGAGATTGGGTTCATCGTAGGACGGTAGCTCCGGGAAGTAGCATCGGCCATGGGGCCATCAGCTCTTCTATACATCGGATCCATCGATGTTCTCTCGCTTGAAAGGGCTGACATTATTGATAACCTACCAGACTCTAACGGTCTAGAGGTGTACGCTGTAGTCCCTGAATAGATTGACCTTAAATCGGCATCGTTATCGGCACTCGTTGGCACTTCTTCTTCCAATGGCCTTGGCTCATTGTGACCACGAGCAGCTAGGTTGTTAGACCGAATGAAGGCCACAAAGTTGCAAGCATGGTTGTCTGGAAGTAGATCCCAAACCATGACCGGCATTGACAACAGCAGCAGCGTCGAGTGGCTTTTGAATACCCCCTGGACCTTTACATACTTGGCCAGTGCTGGAATACTGGAAAGCCAATGTTCCCAGTCATTGATATTGAGGCGTTGATCCGCCTCAAGTGCAAGAGAAATCATTACATGCGGTACATCCTCATTTGGCTCCGACCCAATGATCTCTTGTGGGCCGGCTGATCGACCGTTGATAGAAGTTGATTCGAATCCCGGCTCTTGAGGAGGCGAGGGTGGCCGTGCATCTGCTGAGAGCATCTGGGCTATCTCGATACTTGGTGCTTTATGGTTGGCGGTCATCATAAAATGTACTGGCGTAGCACGTGCCTCGAAATGCTTGCCGTTCAACATCTCGGGTCTCGGATGCTTCAGGCGTGCAAGGACCTCAGCGTGGAGCATGGCTGCAGAAAAAGTCCTCCGTTTCCAATCTTGAAGCACTTCAATTAGAGTATTGGTAAACGAGTATCTCCCTGGATCGGGTGCAATAGCATCCCAACTAGAGGCCGATATCGTTTCCGTAATACTATTGCCGTTAGGAAACGTAGCACTTGCAGCGCCTGCACAACAATCCAATAAGATGAGAACATCCGACAGAGATCGTTCCAACAATGTTTGAATCGCGGACCATCTACTCGTAGGTTAGAGTTATAACACACATGCGATCCATAGAGGGTTTAGCATGTTATAGGCTTACTGTAGCCATGGAGAATCTGAATTTCGAGTTCTGGCTTGAGTATTAGTATATCAAATAAGGGAGGTATAAGAGCTGCAGGTTGGAAACGCACCCGCACCATGTACTTTGCCTCGACTCGTCGATCCTTGCGTGGCCGCCATAATAGATGATGAACAGGGTATCACTCGATTCGTGTTCTTTTATCATGGCACCAATTTTCATCATCAGCTCGAGGTGTGCATTGTCGGACGGTATCGAAAAGGTCTCGGTTTGGAACCCGTAGTCCTCCTTCAGGCAAGCATCCAGGTCGTCGAGCTCTTTCAGGACGAATAAGTCGTCGCAGGTCCAGTGAAGAAGAAGCACCTGTACCTTCTTGTATCTCTGTGAGCCCCCCCGATTGGGGAAAGCTCGCATAGCCGACTATCAAAGTAGGACTGTTAGTAACTACGATAGTATATATATATGTACCTAATATATAATATAAGGTATATGAAGGACTGGATAGAGAAGAATAGAATAGAATGGAGGAAAAGGTCAGAACGCACATCCTCGAGTGTCTTGGCGAATTCGGGTAGATGCTTGACGTGGTAGCTCACCCGACTGATGTCGTGCGTGGCTGCTGGCGTCTTTTCATCCTCAATGCTAGAACCATACTGAGAAGATGCAATTAGACGAGATCGAGCTTGAGACCTGGCTGTCTTTTTATCTCGACGTACGGCAGAATCACCACTGCTGAAGCTATGTCCGTCCCCCGTAGCCGTAGGCTGCCATTCACTTATCGTAACGAACGGCCGACTATCACCCATGATCGCATACGCTTGTGCAGATCAACCAAACAGAATCGTGGCTGGAGAGAAGGGATGGGAGGAAGGGCGAGAGGAAATAGTAAAACGATAATAAAGAACGAAATGTAGTAGGATAGCCTTCTTTTTTTTCTCTTTTTTTTCTATTTTTTTTCTACATGACTCTGCGGTACCGCATAGCGGGTGAGAGTGAACTAGACTTAGGGCTGGCTGGCTGGCTGAATGTATTGTAATGGATGGATAAGCTTGGATGAGCTGGAAGTCGAACTTGGTGGGATCGAATCAATCAATCAATCACACACGAGCAAAAAGGAAAGTAGCACATAAGAGGGGGGGAATAGTCCGGGCTCACTCGAGCTATCAGGGACCCCAAAAGGCTTTCTACCGAGAAGCAACTAGGGGGGGTGTGTGAGAATGGGTAGAGTAAAGTGGATGCCTTTACGACGGGAGACGGACAATGAGACAGCAGGCTGAAGATGAGCCAGATGAACCAGATAAACCAGATGAACCTGAAGGATGATGGTTGTCCCAAAAGTGTTAAGATGAGCGCCCCCTCGGTAGCAAAATCCGGTTTAGCGGCGCCGCCCGCGGTGAACCAATTCGGTGCGAAACGCCTCGTTCAAATTTCCCTCTTTTGCCTTATCATTATTGGCTATGTTCGTCTTGTGCGGTATGTTTGGTTAAGTACCTCTTACTAGTATGTGTGACATGATATCTGATTGCTTCTAGAAAAACAAGGACCCGACAACTTTTGATCGGCCATATTATTAAAGAAACGTACCGGTCATCTACAAATTGCCTTACGGTTTTTAATTTTCAGGTATGTCAGATCTAAAATAGATGCTTCAGCACTTCAGCAGTACGTACCTGACGTACATGCTGACATGTCTGGGTTTAGTGGAGACTCAGGTACAGCGCCAAGACTAGAGCAAACTGATGGGTGTATACCTGTATTACCTAAGGAGGTATGTATGATGAGGTACATCCGTTCGAGGTATATTGACATTTCCCGCTTTTGCCGTTGCAGAAATACATACACAATGTAGGAATACCTATGGAATAGCTTCTGTTCCAGAAATAGCTCAGCCTCACTTTTTATGCTACAATACTAATGTTCCTTACGAGCAATATCATTGATAAGCAAACTCATATTGACATTATTGTAGGTTAGTCTGCTATCAAATATTTGATAACTTATCAGGTATATACCCCCTTCTCTGGAAAAAGCACCAATGATCCTGAGGCCGAAGTACTATAGTTCCTCCCCGCTTGACGGTATTTCAAAGCAGATCTTCCTAGTCTCAAGCTTGTAAATATGGCTGATTTACAACGAACCGCCATCACGTTCGTCAACTAGCGGATGATGCCGCGAGGAGGCTTCACAAAACCGACAACTCCCTCAGACCTGGCCTTTCCAGATTTCCGGGTGCAAAGCGGAAAACAGAACCTTCCCGCATGTCCGGTCCAAATGCAACCCGGCTTCCCACCGATTCGCTTCCCACGCCCCACACCCCCTACTATGTACATGGCGGAACAAGATAAATCTCCACCAAACTCTGATATCCGCGTAAGCCCGAATGCTAAACAGATAGGCATACAACGCAGCTAGAAATTCTAAAACAAGAGTGGATATAATACCGATGTTGTGGCAGCTATAATTTCGTTTGCAGATTCTTGCGTATATATTCGAAGATGACAATATGTTCAAGGATGGATTTTTAAGCATTAGAGGTAAGCCTAATTGGTATCATTTGTATTTGTCTTTCGACGCTCTTCGTCCAAGTCCTCTTTCATCAGGCGCTCGCTGAGACTTCTCGGTGTACCATTAAAGTAAGTCAATTCTGGCCTATAACTGCTTGTTTCGTCAACGCCGCTTCGCCCGTCAACACTGCCGACGAATGTATAGAAGTCGCCCATCTCGGCAGCCTTTTTATACAGTTCTGGATCACGAACAACCCCAATCGAAAACGGCTTTCCACGATATGATCCCACCGATGCGGCCAGATGAGGAGGAGACGGAGGGGTTGGTGCTGCTGCTGATGCAGCGGGTTTCGTAACCGGAATTGCGGGGGATGTGGAATATAAGACTGGATTGTCAGCTATAGGAGTCACGCCGGCATCGTCATCTTCGCCCTCGCCCTCGTCCTCGTCCTCGTCTTCATCGATATATTTCGTAACCGGCTCGCCTTCGCGACTGCTCTCAAATTCAAATAGGTCTTCCTCTTCAAGCACTGGCTCTTCGATATGTTTAGCTGGTTCCGTTTGTTTGTTATTGCTTTTTTGGTCAGTCCGTTGCGACTCGTGAACGTTTAATTCCGGTTCCGCCATTGTCTCAAGCGGCGGGGAGAAATGTTTCTTATTCTTGAAGGAGCTCAACGGTGGCATCATAAGAACATCGTCCATATCTTCAGCCTCGTCGCCAAGGTCGTCTTCGCTTGTTTCCTCCACTATCGGTAACGGCGAGCCTAATTGAGTTGGGAGACGTGCATCATTTATACGGTGCGCTGTAGAAACAGAATTTACGTGCTCAACTGTACTGTGAAGTGTACCATTCTCTTTTCGTCCGTTTAGACCGGCCATGACTAATTCGTTTTCCTCGTCATCATCCATAGCGTCCAGGCTACCAACAACTTCCCATTTTGAGGTGTCCTCAGTGGAACTCCGCGCTAGGGCCTTAAGACGCTCAGTCGAAGTAATCTTCTTCGGCATTGGCGGAGAGCTACCTAGCATCTCGGTTTCCTCGTTAATACTAATCGCATTGTATGAGTCATCTGGAAGATTAGTGGGGTTGCCTAATGAAGAGGACGGAAGGTCGGTCATTCGAGGTGACATTGGAGGCGAAGAGGTGGGAAGGACCTCTTTGCCTTCTACATCGAATCGTACTCGCCTCGGACTCTGGTTTTTGGTGGAAGAACCAGATGAGCGGCGGAGGGCGCTTCTCGGTCGCGTCGCACTATCATCTGAAGTACTCGAAGAAACGGTATCTGAAGTATAGCGCCGAACAGGATCTGGCCGTAATGATACGTCATTGCTTATCGGTGCAACAAGTTTTTTTTGGTTATCATTGGGCTCTTTAACATCAGGTACTTGGGTACGTAAGACAGGCGGTGTCGGAGTATGTCGCTGTACAGCATCAAGCAAGGGAAGATAGCTCGGTGTAAACAGGCCATGGAATTCGCGCTCTCGCTCGTGCGGGCTTCGAGCGCCATCTTCTATGGGAGTTCCTGGGCTCTGAGGGGAGGCCGGTGGCGGCGATAACAGTCTAGCTGACCATGGCTTTTCGTCCAAACTAGTAGCACTGGTAAAACCGGTAGCATCGGTATTGAATTGCGATTGCAAGCCAACATAGTGATCGAGAGCAGGACTCAAGGCCGGGTAGTTTTGGAATTGCTCGGCAACCAGCTTTTCGACTTTGGCAGACACATGGCCTGGCACGTTTTGTAGTCGCTGACGCGAATACCGACGGAATTCCTGGGCCATATCTTGGCGATATTCGTTGACCTTGTTATCGAGCTCGGCGAGCTTTTGGAGAAGATCCGATACGAGACTCGTGGTGTCATCCATTATGCCAACTGCGCCGCACACCAGAAAATGATTAATCGAAAACAGTCAAAATACAAAGAATAAGCATTGTCGATGCTGATCAGCATACAGCACAACAAAAAGCTTCGTATTTTTTTCTTCTTCTCTCTTTTCCCTCTTTTCAGCACGGGGGAGGAGAGTGGATTGATGCGACGTGCTTCGTTATTAATTTTTTTTTCCGCCTTTTCCGTTGGTGCGGAGTTATATTCTGTCCGCTGGTTATTCTTTGCAACGAGGAATTGAGCTATCCACGGAGCAGTATTCCGTACCAGCTGTGCAATTCGAAGGATTAAGTTGCTGGTAGGTATATGTACAAATCCCTGGTCTATAAGAGCCTTCGATTAAAGCAAAGACTGTCGTGTTGTTTCGTTCAAGTTTACTTAGGTTAAGTAGATAAGCCTCGTTGTGTAAGTGGCTTGGAGCCGCACTCTCTCAAGATGTGACTGTAGTAAAATGATTTGCTAGAAAGTTGGAAGTTACCGAAATGTAAAAAATGATGTGGAGAAAATGGTAGGTGTGGGAGCCAAGAGCCACGAGAGAATTGGTAGGATTGGTGCTCCGACAACTTGGAAAGACCTGGTCGATTTGTCCTTGTTGAACTGGCGAGACTTGCCTAAACTATTCCAGGCCTGGAAGATTCTGTTGCATACCCGCTCTTAGGTTTTAAGTACCTAGGTACCAGGGTACCTACCTGTGGCAATTGCCAGGTCACTGTCTAAATAACCTAACCTTAGTGATTGAATCAACGCAAAGTTGTGCAAGTGTCTTTACACTATTGCAAACCTTGTCCGGCTTTCCTTATTGAGGTACACGTGCATCCCACTTTCTTTATCAAAAAGTCCCCCAGTCGTCACATGCAGCTCCGGCTCCCGGATTTGGTACAGAATATGACAGAGCACCAATCAATTAAGAGCAATGACTTCAACATTCGACGTTCAACCGATCTTCAGATCGACATTGTTGATAAGATATCTCTAGACTTTGTTAGATACGAAATCATTTCTCCATCAATACATCACAGATATTTTTGGTAACTACCTGCTAACTTACTTTAAGTACACATAGTTATGTTCAAGTTAAAATAACGACTGACAGATGTCTATTATAAGCGAGTGCAATTCTATTATAACTGATGGCAACGCCGTCATTCGACTATAAACTTCCGTCTCTCCACGATGGAGATGAGACTAGGAAGCCAATGAGAGGAGGAAATACAGGCCACTATGTTCTATATTCCCTGCATAATACTCACACAGGTTTAGGCAAAGTTGATCTGCCAGCGTATATCAAGCATACATCAAGCGTACTAAACCTTCCCCGAGATGCATACCGAAGTTGCAAGAGGATTTAAAACAGCATGGCCACTCATGATATATGTCCTCCGGTGATTTGATGCATTCACCATTCTGACCTCCTAGCTTGTTCATTTACTACTTATGAACACTTACCTATCACTACCTACCTTTACCGCCAGTATCTGTTATCGTCACGCTCTAACACGTCATAAGCCCTCAGCAGTTTGATTAATAAATCTTTCACTTTTAAGAAACACGCGGTCCTCTCACCGAATTATTTACCTCGCGATTGCCGGGTTGGGATCCGAGTTCTTAGATGGCTTAGGTACACTTCACGTGTAAAACGGCGAAGCCGAGAGTCTTTGCGTGTGCCACCCCGGTCTGTGGATACATTTCTGAATGGATAGCCTATGAGCTTGAGTCGCATTTGAATATTCTTAAGGGTAGGGTTAGTTTAGTAACCACCATTGGCTCAATGCTACATCATACGTAAACGGACCTAGAAACGACTACAACGCTGATAAATAGTATCATACGCATTTTCCAGCCTCCATAGATGGATGAGTTAGCGCTACACAAAATAAAGGAAGCATGAGTGCCATATAGTTGAACTAAACACCGTAACTAGAAATAAACGCTAGCCTCAAACAACCTATATCTACCTGATTACCTAATGTCTCCAAGTCAGCCTAGTTAAAAATCACTACCGGAGCAAAAAGAGTTTGGACGCCATCTTTGGGAAGGTTAGATACTCACATGATCAATGTCAGAACGACATTCTACAACCTAATACGAGCCATATTCACGTGGGGTCCCTTAATTTTACAAGCAGGTTATTTGTTGTGGATTCATTTATCTAAAAAGGTATTATGAACCAATTAAGATAGACGCTTATTCCCCCTTTTCTAGAATATTAGCTTCCCGAGAATTGGAAGCCAGATAACCCACGCAGATTATCTAGCAACTATCATCAGTAGAAGATAGGTAGTGACCATGTCTAATACTCTATCTAGAAAGCAAAGACTTGGTCTTCCAGCTTGCTGACGGGACGAGCCTTCTGGAAACCGAGACTCTCGGCTGCCTTCTTTAACCCACCGACCATGGGAGGTGGACCGCAGAGCAGTATCTTAACATCAGGAGCAGGCTTCGGTAACCATTTCTAATGATTATTTGTTAGCTTATGGCTTGGGGCGCGTTCGGCAGGAAGAAAACTTACATCAACCATATCAGCAGTGACGAATCCAACGCCACCGGTCCATCCCTCAGGAGGCTTGTCGAGAACATAGTGAACTCTGAAACCTGAGTCCTCTTTGGCCAGAGCATCGAGATCTTCCTTTAGTAGGATATCTTGTTCGGTTACGTTGGCGAAGATCAAGTCCACCTGCGTTCGATCACCCGTGGGTCGTCCTCGAATAATGGCCCTCACAACTTGGAGCATGGGAGTGATACCAGTACCACCGGCAACCATTCCGAAATGACGGACCATGTTAGGAGTATAAACGAAAGCGCCCTTAGGTCCCCTTACACGGATCGTCTGGCCCACGGCTAGTGATGCCATGTGCTTCGAGATGTTACCTGTCGGGTACGACTTAATGAGGAGGTCGAAGTAACCAGGCTGGTGGTCGCCAGAAATTGGCGTATAAGATCGCACAATCTCTTTAGTAGAACCATCGGGTTGCGGGAGGACAGCACCAATTGAGATGTGTTGACCAATTGGAAGACCGAGGATGGAAGTCGGAGCGGGCAAGGAAAATCGGTAACTAGAAAATAGAAAAGAAATAATAAGTCAACTGAAGGAAACGAGCTGCTGTGGGAGGTGAGACGAACATGGCGACATTGTGGGAAATAATTGTCTTTTCTTTCAATTCGAATTCCTGGAATACATCTGGCTTCAAGATCTTCTTGGGTACTGCGTAGTACAATTAGTTAGATGCCTATAAGAGAGAAAGGGAGCATTACAGGATACACATACACGAGCGGAAGTATTTCAGGAATCCTAGAGCAATTGCAACAAGAGCTGCAGCAGGCGTCCATTCCTTTTTGACAATGAATGTTCCAAGCACTAGTAGACCGGCAGGGATATATATCCCGTCGATGTAGGCTTTGGAAGATAACGGAACTGGCGTCGCCATTGTGGCTTTCAGTTGCCGCCTGTTTATTTGCGTATAAATTGTAGCGGAACTGCGCTCCTTGAAGAAATATCTTGCCTGCTAGCAACTTAAACAAACCTACTCCCGCAAGAGAGGATGAGGGGGGAACGGAGGTGAATTCTGCTGAGCTGCAGCTTATATCGTTGTGGATGTCGGAGTTGACACCCTTGGATCTGCCCTCTAATTTTTTTAATCTCCTAAATTCGGGGGATTCGGGGGAATCGCTGATAAGTGGCACCACAATTAAACATTTGTTGAGTTTACCGCCCGGCGCAAAAGCGGACTAGACCGGCCGCTCGGCACTAGGGTTTTCTATCAATTATGCATACGGCCGTCAATTACAACATCATGTATGCGTGTATAGGAATATCTACCCCACATGATGCGTGCAACGGTTATATGCAGCTGTGGGGGTACTTAACTTAATCGGCAATACAGTATAGGTACGGTGCCCACGACCCCGAGATAGTGTGGCTGTTGTCACTTGTGACGACGAAGCTCTGTGGCTGTGAATTTTGTATAGGGACATGGATGCTTAGCAGGTGCAGTTACCTAATAGGTACCTAACCTAACATACCTACCTCAAAAACATATGTGTTGCTTATTCTCAAGCTTCATGCAAGTGACAACGCATCACTTACTAAATGTAATCAAAATTTACGACTCATTATCAAATTGCGATTCCAACATTGAGGCTTAACATGAGTGACGTCCCGATTCCAGTTGCCCCTGAAGATGCACCATTCCCCTTGACGGATGTTGATAAGTGGGTTTTATCTCTAACCGATGAAGAATACCAATATCACGACTGGGAAGACGTAAAAAAGATCATAGGTAGGGGTTTATCTGCTTCTCATTCATTTTTCCGTGGCACATAGGTGGCTCAACCTGGTGCTTAGAGGAAAATAACCTTTCCGTCCTCAAGCGAAAACCATCCGATTTGAGACGATATATGCGATGGACCGCGGAGATCAAGGCTGAATACGGATCCATGACGAACTATCTTATGAAACACCGACTACCAAAAGCTTGGGGCTCTCCTCCTTTCAAACCAGCATCCACCACTCCATTTAATGATCCGTCTGACTATAGAGTCCTCATCAATGACTGGCCCTATGGCATGATGCCAAACATGACTCACATAGTCGTCTGGTCAAGAACAGCAATCCCTACGGACCCTGAGACTGGGGATATGACCCCCGAAAGCCGTGAGATTATCAGGAGATTTATAAAAAGGTTCTTCGTGGACAAATTAGGCCCAGGAGGAGATGAGAAAGTCTTGTGGTTCAAGAACTGGATTGCGCTGCAAAGCGTGAGGGCACTAGAGCGTACGTATAACTTCGCTTATAGGATACCGTTCAGATCAACGCCTATAAAACTTACGTTGAACATTGCTGACTTGGATACTGTAGATATTCATATCATCGTCAGAGATGCTGACAAAGACACGCTGGATCAGTGGACTGAGGAGCTGGATTGTCATAGGTTACTGAACTAGATGAGCAATTATATTGATTCAAGTATAGAACTTTGAAAACATGGAAAGATTCCTAATGATGCAACGCTGGGTGATATAAATGTATAACCCTGGCCTAAGCTGCACGTCTTTGCTTCCTGTTAGCTGCCACTGGTGCGGCATTGCTCGGCTGCTGTCCTTGCATGCCGGCCATTCCGCGAGCTGCACCAAGCAGACCAAACCCCTTATAAGCCCCGTAAGCAGGTACAACAGTCCAGAGGAGCCACCCCCAGTTACCGAAAAGCATGGCGAGCACGACGGATGCCCATGTCACCCAGATAACGTCGAACATGTACTCGGTAAGCCCAGGCGCAGACAAGTCTTCGCCGGCTCTCTGAAGCGCCTTCGTTGAAGGGTCATATCTAGGCCGTCCCGATGCTTCCAAGAAGTACTCGCATATGAAACTGGGGATTGAGAGGAGGACGTATAATAAGATGGATCGCTTTTTGATTATGAAGTTGAATAATACGAAAAGCGTATTGATGGTAAGAGTACCGGTGTGAAGGTTTTTTAACGCAGCTGCGTTGGCCTTTGCCGTGTCTTTTCGTGCTTTTTGTGCCATTGCAAGATTTCGGGTTTGAGGAGAGGCAGAGTAATAACAATAATAGAGAATAAGAGAGTTTTGTGTGGGAATTAGGTATGCGTCTGATTGTTAGATGTCACAAGACTACAAGTAGCTGAGACGAATGCACTTCAATGAATGAAAGATGTGGCTTTATCTACGAGGCTGGAAATGAGAGGGCGGCTTGTGGATGGAACATTACATTACATACATCAATGTACCTAGGCTAGGTACCTAGGTAGGTATGTATAGGTATACAGTACATTGAAGTCAAAGAGCGGCAGGTGGGGGTGGTTGGCTGCAGCTGTTTACTTCAAAGCCTACGCCTTTTTATTTAGCGCCCAATGGTTGCTCTGGCAGGTACTGTCCGGTTGCGTATGACCAATCTAACCAATCAAATCTCATTTAACCCCCTTGACAACGGTTTTATCCACCATAACATGCCAAATCGCGAGGAAAGCTTGGACTGGAACTGCGACAAGGCGGAAAACCGCTACTATGTACGGTTTAGGTACCTGATGATTTTCTTCATCCCACTCACTACCTACTTCGCACCTAACCATACTACGAAAATAAGACAAATTTAAATACCATTGAATGGTATTGCCGGGGTATATTGCTTTTTGGGCTAGGAGCTGGGTAGCCTACCAGGCAATATCGTCGTCGTCTCGCCACCTTTTTAACATTCGCCTTTCTCGTGACGGCGTGTTGATGGGAGAGATTCTAACGAGTCTATTCACGCTCCCAGTCCCAAGTTAACCAGTGATTAGAGATGCCTGCTACGAAAAACCAGGATCAAGTCGAAACCTACTTCCATTTCTTCACCTCCGACGGGTAGTTTTCGCTCTCTTCATAACGATTCTTACGCTTCGGTTATCCCGAATTTAATCCATTATCAACACTAATTAATCATTGTCAAGGCCGTTGTCTTTGAAGGCACGCAACCCAGCTATTCTCCTAGTCTACCGCTCCTTGCTTTGACCCCCGACATCCTTTCAAGGTCGACAACCTAACTGCACCGTCTCCTCTACGCGACCATATGGCCATTCGCGAATAGATTCAGTTATCCGAATACTATCCATCGTACCATCTTTATCCCAAAGATGGGCCCTACAAGCTCGGCCGTTACGGGCCAGTTGAAGCAAATTGTTTACTATCATCTCGACAATATGTCCTATGAAAGTGCACTGTTCTTTGCTGAAAGATTGGCCGCCCACGATCCTCGCTCGAGCGACTCGCCATATCTCCTTGCACTCTGCCATTTCCGACTTGGTGACTACCACTCAGCTTACGAAATCAGCAAAGCCGTCGGTTACCGTGGAAGCAATGTCTCCTGTTCATATATATTTGCACAGTGCTGCCTCGTGATTGGGCAATATAAAGATGGGATCACAGCATTGGAAAAGTCGAGAAGTTCATGGTCTAGGAAGTCAAGTCTGGGCAAGCACAACGCAACGAATAGAGCGCAGCATCCGGACTCAGCAAGTACTGCATGCTTGCTTGGGAGGCTCTACCGGGCCCACAATGACAAAAATAAGGCCATAATCCACTTTGAAGAAGCGCTCAAGTTAAATCCGTTCATGTGGGATGCATTCACAGCTCTGTGTGATATGGGTGCCGACGTTAGGACAGCAAATATTTTCAAGCTGAACGACATGCTAATTGATAGCTCAAATACGGCCCAGCTAAATGGAATTCTCTCGGAGCAAAAGGATAGTACTGCACCTAATATAGCGGAGTCCCAACCTAAGAAGGCAGCGTCCCGTTCTGCGGTTTACGATACGATGGTTGACCCATTCGATTCACAAAGGTCGACAGCTGGAAACGAGATGCTCCTGGGCGCTAACTTCCTCTCTGGTGAGAATGATTTTGTATCTAAAATCAACGCGGCTCGCTCTAGGATGGCTACCACCACCGCCCCCGAAACCGGCTTTGAAAGCGTTGAGACGCCAACAACAAACCATACCGACTCGAACATACCGAGGATTAATCACCCACCTGAGCCCCCTCAAGCTCCTGCCAGAAAGACGAGGAACGCACAGCCTATCGAGCCTAATCAGATGGATATGCCTTCAAAGATAGGTTACCGAATAGGCACTAAGAGAGCTCAGAAGCTACAGGATAAGTCTCAAGAAGACTTCCCTCCAGAGCACAATTCTACTCTCCTTAGGCCGACTGCCTCTAGTGCGTCTGGCATAGAGAGGAAGAGGACTGTATCTGGTCACCTCGTGCAACCAAGGCAACGGCCGGACGAACCTGGCGCCCCCCAACGACGGAGCGCAAGATTAAATCCGTTCGGAGGCGCTAATGCAAAAGCTAACTCCGCGTCAACTGTTGGTCCAACACGAGAATTGAAGAAGGCTAGACCCCCTATCTCAAGAATTGTACGTCCCAATTCGAGCGGTTCCAATGTCGGCAGAGCTATTAGTGGTAACAGGAAACCGTTGGAGGAGAATAGTATGGACGTAGACCCGGCGGAAGTGCCACGGATTAAAGAGGTCCATTATCCTCCTGCTACGAAATCCGCAGAGCCGGAATCTATCAAAGTTGAGGAAACGTTAAAGTTCCTACTAGAATTATTAAGGAAATTCGGCTCCGGCTATTTGGCACTATCACGATATCGGTGTGCCGAAGCTTTGATCTTCTATACGTCGCTGCCACGGACGCATCAAGAAACGCCGTGGGTGCTTTCGCAAATCGGAAGGGCATACTACGAGCAAGCAGCATACGCGGAGGCGGAGAAGTTTTATAGAAGATTACGGATACTGGCTCCTACTCGCTTTGAAGATATGGAAGTCTACTCGACCATTTTATGGTTCCTCAAAAGAGAGACGGATTTATCGTTCCTTGCTCACGAACTTGTCGATATGTCATGGCATTCCCCCCAGGCCTGGTGTGCACTTGGCAACGCTTGGTCGCTCGCTCGAGACCATGAACAAGCATTGAGATGCTTCAAGCGGGCTACCCAACTAAACCCCAAGTTTGCTTATGCGTTTACTTTACAGGGCCACGAACATGTTTCAAATGAAGAGTATGAGAAGGCGCTCACGGCGTATCGTCAAGCAATATCAGCCGATCGTCGGCATTACAACGCATATTATGGTATTGGTAGGGTATATGAAAAACTTGGCAACTATGACAAGGCCTATATACATTTCCACTCAGCATCCATTATAAATCCTACCAATGCTGTCCTGATATGCTGTATCGGCAATGTCCTTGAGAAGCAGCGACAGATTGTCAAGGCACTCGAATATTTTACTAAGGCCACCGAACTTGCTCCACACGCCGCTCAAACTCGATACAAGAAAGCTAGAGCTCTATTGGCTCTCAATCAACTCGATGAAGCGCATAAGGAACTTGATATCCTGAAGACACTCGCTCCCGACGAGGCTACTGTGCATTTCCTCCTCGGGAAATTATATAAGACCTTGAATGACAAGGGTGCCGCCGTGCGGCATTTCACGATTGCTCTAAATTTAGATCCCAAGGTTCGTCTCAAATCCCCCCTTGTTGCACGTGTGGATATTCTAACGAGAAGGAATTAGGCAAGTCAACAAATCAAAGAAGCCATCGAGAGCCTTGAAGATGATGACAGCTTTGACGATTCTATGATGGCATGATAATAAGACACGGCGGAAGCATTTGTGTTTATTAAGCGGAGTTTCTTTTAAATGCCATGGTTATAGCGGCATAAGGGAGGTTCGGCTAGAATCGAGTATTTCCCAGGCATTGCGTTGAACGTCTTTGGGGAGGTTCGACATCGAATGCGGCACGGCCTTATAAGTGATAAGTTTCGGCCTTACGGGTATTTGACATTACGAGGTCTGGAGAGGCATATGCATCGGCGTTTGGGGAATTCTAGTGGTACTTTATGTCTACCACTGCCAGGAAACTACGGTGGTCTTGTGTATAGGTAGCAAAGGCTTGCATGGTGATTAAAAAAAAAGGTGTATAGTAATACGTACGGGGTGAGCGGCTAAATCCACTAGGTGCTCGTCCTGCTTCTTCAATGATACGGAAGACTTCACGAACAGAATAATTTTGACTTTTCTAGGGTTAGTTGGTGTAGGGTATACGATATGCGACTTTCAACCTTCAGGATAATTATAGGTCCTTTTTTTTTTCTTCATAGAAATATCTAAGGACCCGTGTAAACGATATTGAGTCTTGGAGATCTACCGAATATACATGCAGTATGACTGACTGGTATAAGTACCTAAGGTACCTAAGTTCGGGAGTTCCAGCATTCCATCCACGGAACCTTTGAAAGTCTAAATTAACACTTAACTACCTACTTAGATAAAGTGAATCACGTGAAAAAGGTACTGTAAATATCCTTGACAGGATCATGGATGTCTTTGAGCTGTGTGCCCCACTTGCGTATAAGTTCTGGAAAAGAACAACGCACGGTCCAAATGCAAGGGTCTCCATTAAAAAATCAGAGAAATTCGGCCTAAAAGGGAAATTGACAACCAAGCGCCAAAGCAGCGTAGAATAACGCATTTTCAAGGCACCATAAATAAGAAAATAATCAGACGTAACAAGTCGCATTTTTTATTTTATTTTTTATTTTTTAAATGTTCCCCCAGGCTGATGCCGGATTGCCCCAAATTAGACTAGCTACTTCCCTACAATTCGAATCAGTAACACCCCTCCTCTATCCACATAAAAGCCTACCTCTTCTCTTCTGTTTCTTGCAGGTTCTATTTTTCCTCTTTCTTCATTTATCCATCATCAACTTAACACATCTATCTCATCGCGATTTGCCATCAATACCATCCACATTTCATACCCTTTTCATCACTAAAACATAACCAAATTATATCTCAACCTCATTCAAGATGACTGGACGTAAGTGCATCACGTTTTTAATTAGTCTTTATCTTCCTGTCGCATCCTGGAAATCCTGCAGAGAGGAGGGGTACCCTTTGATTGGGCGGGTCTGGCGAAGCCATCGCCTCCCAGACGCGTCTCAATTAAACTTGGGGTATCCCAACGCGACTTGATTTCAATTAAATACATTCAACGCTTTAAATGTTTACCTAACTAATATATTCATGAATAGGCGGCAAGGGCGGTAAGGGTCTTGGAAAGGGCGGTGCCAAGCGCCACCGTAAGATTCTTCGTGACAACATTCAGGGTATCACCAAGCCCGCTATCCGACGTCTCGCTCGTCGTGGTGGTGTCAAGCGTATTTCAGCTAGTAAGTTTCTCGTCTTGTACCAAGATTAGATTGGAATAGTTATACTAACAGATTACTCAGTGATCTACGAAGAGACGCGTGGTGTCCTCAAGTCCTTCCTCGAGGGTGTTATTCGTGACGCCGTCACCTACACCGAGCACGCCAAGCGCAAGACCGTCACCTCCCTAGACGTCGTCTACGCCTTGAAGCGACAGGGCCGCACCCTGTACGGTTTCGGTGGTTAAGCGTGTCCTGTGCTCTATGCTTTACGCTTTTGGTTGGCCTGCCTGTCCGTAGTAATTTTTCACCAATACAAGTTAGTGGGCACCGGCACGGCACAACACAACATACAAAGCAGGGCATGTCGTGTAATAGAAGTTGGGGATTTGTGTTACTACATTAAGGATTATTGGCATGATACACATTCTGACATCGGCGTTGGTGGTTTTTACGTTACGGTTCATGGTCGCGCGATGACTTTTGAGAGAATTGGCGTCTTAAGGACAAGATAGCCTCGGATCGTGCTACGGCATGCTGAATATACTTGCATTGCATTATGCTTTGCCGTAAACTCACTCTTTTATGTCTGGATGCTTGATGTGATGATAAATGTTGTGGAATAACTGAAACAGTACCTATTCCAAAAATCTAAAAAGCACCTAGGTATGAGGCAAATCTCTAGAGTACCTCATGCCATGACCGATCTAAACTCCCAACGCCATGCATGATTACATTACAATCGTCTTATGCAGGTGTCTGCCCTGTTATGCCGAATCATAGATACTTCCTTCCAGCCGCAGCAACCCTTTGTCTAAATACCGGGCTGCGGACCTCCATATTCACGCGGTAGAAAGGGCTCATGATAGCCTTAACCCAATTCTCGTAGACCTCGAGCATGAAGTTCTTGATGGCCTCCTCGGTCTGGGGACTCATCGGGTTCGCGCCTATCGACGTAGAAGATCGGGTGGACGTCGTGGAGACGGGCATGGTCGGCTGGTGCAGCAGGAGGAACTTGACGTTGCCGCCGGTTATGAAGCAAGACACGTAGTTGTTGAAGAACTTGTCGACGCACTTGAGGTACCTTGATGATATCGAGAAACATGCGCAATTAGCTGATTGTTCCAGCGCGCGCAACCGAAACAGAATATAAAAAAGCACACTCACATCTGACCGCCTCCCCATTGGACCTCCTCGACGATGTCCAGGCTGCTGTGCACGATGAACTGGTTCATATGGCGGGCCTGCTCGGTGAAATGCGGCTGGCCGTCGCCGCCCTGCTTCGACGTCCCGAATTCATACTCGAACAGCGGGTTATCTTGCGTGCCGACGATGGCGAAATAATACGACATGTTTGGTGGTGGTTTTTTTTATCTGTCGACCATTTGCGACGGGGGTTGAAGAGATGCGCTGCTTGAATGGAAGCGAAGCTTTAGGTAGGTTAATTCAATAGGTACATGGTTCAGTGGTTCAGGTGTAGAACCGTGAACGCCGTGCCTTTAAGTGGGGATGCATGTGGATAGGTTGGTTATGTACTTAGGTACATGCATGCAAGCAAAACGGAATTGTGGAGGCTTCCTATGTACCTATGTTTAGTGTGACTATATGGCTGTGTGGTTCGTGCGCTATCAATTCATTCAACTTTTCTAATCGCGATTTGCTCCGAAGCTGTTCTGAATCGTCGAGCAGTTTTAGCATCCACCATGTTCGGCGCATTCAGAGTGACAAGTCCGCTATGCGGCGGTCTGTTATGGTATGTGAGAGAATAACCAATTCTTAGCTAACTTACCTAGGTTTCCAGACACGTTTGGCAGCGTTATGCTAACCCTACGGATTCTATAGGAAGATCCCATGGCGCCTATCCCGATTCCAGAAAGCACGGCAACGAAAGAGACTCCGTGCCGTTGATTCGGTAGTAGAAACAATAGAAAATGCGTTGGCAAAGAAGGGCGAAACGCTGAAGGCCCTTGAGACGTGGAAGGAAACGATGCCCACCGAGGCCGAGATGCTACCCAAAGACAAATACACCATGTTCGACAGGAAAGAAAAGCGATATAGAAAGGGCATTCATAGTATGTTTTTACTTGTTTCCAATCTGAGAATCATAAGTACCTACTACGTAGGTACCTAAGGTAAGTATAGGGAGCTTGCTAACGCTCGGGAACAGAGCTCCCAAAGTGGACGAGAGTGTCGCAAAGAGTGAACCCTCCTGGTTATTAAACATATTCGTCACATTCCAGCGATCGAGACAATTCCACGCCTATATATCACTTTATGACATATGTCACCGGGCTATTAAACAATGAACATCCATTGGGAGGCATATATTCATGCGGCGAGCTGAGGCGGCTGCACACAGCATACTCCGACGAATTGTACATTATTGTACTTAAACAAGAGAGGCAGATATACTTCTCTATATACTAACCTATACCGGGCATGCAATGAAATAAATGAAACTGGTCACTTCACCACCCTGAGACCCAATCGTGTCGCGAATTGCGGATGACCACCTATTAATCATGTATATCTCTTAACCTATTATCATTTTGGGGGTATCAACAATCAGCACGAATCAGCAGCCTTATCTTAGGCGTCCGTAGCTTTCTTCAATGTGCTGATCTCGTTCCCTATTCCGTTCTCCCTCGCGTTCCCGCTCGCTCTGGAGTGCTCTACCTAGACCACCTCTGCCTTCATCGTAGTCATCTCTGTATTCGTCTCGCACTTGACCGCCCGACTTGCCTCGGCCGTACTGGCGGCCTTCTTCGAAACCAGGGTCTAGATCTGTTCGGATTATACGCTCGTCAAGCTTGGTACCACCTATGTACTTCATACAGTCTAATGCATCCTGGTGGGTATAATACTCGACGAAACAAAAGCCGCAGGGGGTCTTGTTGAATCGATCCAATCCCATTACTAGACGCTTGATCTCGCCGCACTTTGAGAATAGCTCATAGACTTGCTCCTCGGTTGTGTAGAAAGAACTTGAATAATGGTGTTAACGTTCGGTCCAGGAGAAAAGGAAGGCGGTATTGCAATGAGCTTACAGGTTTCCGACATATAGAGTTGTGGCATTCTTCAGAGGATCTTCCGGAGCCTCTTCTGCTGGGGGGTTGGCTTCGGCCTCGCCATCTTTATTCTCCCGTCCATGGTCGGGGCGTCTCCGTTTGTTCTATTCCCAATTCGAAAATTGTCAGTCACAACAGCTTTGCGATAAGCCAAAACCAGCCGAAACCATGAATAATAAGAGAGAGCTTACCCGACTGGTATAATATGCGCTAGGGCGATCTAATCTATCGACGGTCGAACGAACTGCGGAAGCCATTGTGGAATGAATAATTGTTGTCGTTAGGTATTAAAATGGTGTCCGTCTATGTAGGTACCTAAGTTAAGGTGTTAGGTAAACTCGTATGTGAATTAGATGAAATAAATGCATGAGAAGGCTGAAATTGAAAGTGAACGTCAGGGACGTTGATTTGGTTGATTTGATGAAGGCTGAAGCTTTAGGCCCACTATTTAATTGATAAAGCTGCTTCTGATTTGTTAAATTTTACAAGGAAACATCCAAGGATGCTCCTATGCGCGTTTCTAGACCGTACTTACCGTGTCAGATCGCGCTGGGGGGTTTTTTAGTTTTTTTTTTTAGCTGTCATGCTGCTATGCTTGATACAGGTACAGCCGTACCCGGTACCGCCTGGGCCCTGCACACGATCCTAGAGCCTAGAGCCTAGAGCCTAGAGGTACCTAACTGGGGCATGTACAACTAATTTTCCCGCCACCAAATATTCCATAGCAACCATTCTCAGAGTACCTCAATCTTGAATCTTTCCATGTACACACATCGTTTTACCATAGCTTTGCCAGAGCTTATCACAACCAGCTTGGCAGGGCAAAAACAAACATTACCGCTACCACACTTTAACTACCTAAGGTAGTTAACAGCTTATATCGAATCTTTAGATTGAAAGTTTACCTACATTGAACCCAGTCAGAGGGAAGCTGTCAATATTCTCCTGCATCGCTGAACAGGCGGAAATGCGATTCTGCTAACGACAGCACATCTCTTACACACCCAGCCGCGAAAAAGATGCCCAAGATCAAAAGTTATACCCCGGCCTGGCTGTCGGCACCTTCGCCCGGTCACGACCTCTTTGTACCTAATGCCAGCGAGACCCAAGACGCTTCCGCTTATATCTCCAAGGCCATCTCGAAAGATGGTCCTCGACGAACAATTGCTCGTCGTGGCACCGAAGTTTTCATCGCTGTTGGAAAAGAAATCAGATGGGCGGATTTGCTTTACCTAAAAGAACGATGGGAAGAGAAACAAGCTAAGGCCCACGGTGGCATCAGAATCAAGCGCGAGGATACGGATAGCTTCGATGATGATGACGATGCGCTAAGGGAATCAATAGAGAGTGGATGTGCCGAAGGTTTCCGGGTAAGTGATACTTGTCGCACGCATTTTGCATATCACCGAGGCATGTCACCAAGTAGCTAACTTTTCTCAGACCATCACAACCTCTGTTGGTAGCGACATCCAGCAGCTCGTTATCTCACCGTACGCGAACTTCATGGCAGTTGTCACTTCTCATACTGTCCGTATAATCCTTTTACCCGACTCGTCCCACCTCACAGCGCCTGGCCTTGATGCCATTAAGCCAAAGTCATGGACCTTGGGACCAACAACACACGTTATGAACCGTTCACCAATTGCTTCAACCCTATGGCATCCATTGGGGGTTAACGGCTCTGCGTTAGTAACGGTTACAAAAGATGCTGTTGTAAGAGTTTGGGAGCTTTCTCAAAAGGACCGATGGTCTTTTGACTCTCCCACCCTTACTATTGATCTGCAGAAACTTGCGGATGGCACTTCGTTAGATCAAAATTTTGCCACCTCTCCTGATGTCACAAATAAGGGATTTTCCCCAGATTCTTTCGAGATGGATGTTGCGGCAGCGTGTTTCGCCGGCAGAGGCTCTGGTGGTTGGTCGCCAATGACCCTTTGGATTGCGATGCGAGAGGGAGATGTATACGCCCTATGCCCTCTACTGCCAACCCAGTGGGCCCCGCCGCCTACGCTGATTCCTTCGCTCTCTATCTCGATCGTCGGGAATCTTGCTGCAATCGAGGATGATCCAAACGTGTCCGGGCAAGCAAAGTTACTTGCTCAGCAACAGCTAGACTGGATGTCGGACCTCGACAACCAAGAACCTAGAATCATTGAGGGCCCACCTGGAGAACCGCCCACGGAGATTTATACTCGGCCTGCACGACCTGGTGTAGTTCCTCGCTTACAAGGGCCCTTTGACCTTGAGCTAAGTCCGGAAAGTGAAGACGACTTGGATACGGAGCTGACGGATATTTTCGTCATCGGGCAAAAGCTCGACACTGATGAGTTAATGATGGGAGAGGAAGATGAGCTAGATATGGAAGATGTCGAAGGGGAAGGCTTATCACTCCCCGTCATATGCTTACTCTCGTCTAGCGGTCAGCTACGAGTATGTCTAGACCTGGATGGCGTCCAAGCTCAGTGGCTTCCCCCTCGGAATAAATCCAAGGCTATGGGGCGCCTAGCCGGATCTCCGTCTCTGCTAACATTTCAGAGCATGGATATATTGAATTCTCTAGAAGTCACTGAGAATGCCTGGCCAACGTTCAGCCCGGACGTTACTTCTAGATATTCCTTCTTTATCACTCATCCTTCCAGTATTACACATGTTTCTCTATCACCATGGGTCTTCCGCCTGGAAAGCGAACTACAAGGTGATTCGCAAGCCGGATCCGAGTTTAGAATCGACCTGCTTGTTAACGGACAGAGTTCAACTAGAGAGCGTCTCTATACGAGTACAGCCCAAGGCGATACGCAGTTTCCACTAACCGCCTCGGTCGCTATTCGTGACCCTGATCTTGGCTACTTCTTATTGTCCGCAACGCCATTCGATCCAGTTGCCTTAATATTTGATACGCCAGAAGACGACCTCGCCCCCGTTCGGTCCGCCTCGCCTTCCTTTGACAAGGATGCGGAGGTGCAACCCCTAGAGTTCTACGAGCCTCGCCCTGTCTTCCAGCCATCACACTCCTTCGACATGGGTTCGGCGCTACCAAAGCTACTGAGTCAGCTGCGAACCGGTCGTCAGAAGACCATAGTCAATCAGGAAGTCCGACTTTCCCCAGCAACCCTACAAATTTTTACAGAAGCGCATCAAATACTCAGCGATGAAACCTATAAACTGGGCGTAGCAGCTGCCGAGGTATTCCGACGATGTGTTCAGCTACAGGCAGAACTTAAGCAGCAAGTTATCAAGGCAAGCGAAGTAAAGGCTAGGGTTGAGGCTATCACTGGGGAGGATCAAGATGAAAGCAACCCAGAATCAAGCAATGCTGCAATGGTGAGGCGGATACAAAATGTAAGGGAGAAAGGGGAAGCCCTTAGCCGAAGGCTAGAAAAGATGCGAAAGCTAGTCAGTAAGGGGACTAGCCGAGAATTGAGTGATAAGGAGAAGGCTTGGATTAATGAGGTCAATGCCTTGGATGGCACGTTATTCGGGTCTACAACAGCACCTGGACCATCTAGGCTAAAGATGACCAAAAAGAGATATGAAGAAGTGACGCGATTGAAAGAAGAGCTTGTGGAGGAAGCAGAGAAGCTAGGCGCGTCGACCGAAGAAGGAGAGGAAAGACTAAGCGCGTCAACAACAGATCTGCGCATACCATCGGAGCTCCGAAAAGCAAAGATCAACCAAGTAAAGGGGCTCATCGAGCGTGAGACGGCGTTAGTAGATGCTGTGAAATCACGGCTTGAGCGACTGTCAATTGGAGGGTAGGTAGATGCGCGACAAGCAGGTGTGGCGCGCCGGGATGCATCCCGTCAGAGGGTATCCCCCCACCAAGGCAGCAAGGATATTGTATTAAATGTAATACTACCTATACTACCTCTGTTCCATCTTAATCTGTGTTGAGCTAAGAAATAGGGCGATTGGACAAGTTGATTGTGGCTTGTGGCGGGTTTCACAAATTGGGATATAATCAGCAATATCGTTGTCGTGGCGGTCCCTTGGCGAATCTTACCGTTACTCACTGTGACGTCTTGAAGCAGCATTGCCAGAGCCCAATTGGGGGTCGAAGCAGGAATATAAGCAGGAGTAACAATGCTGATCATTTCTTCCTCTTGCCTCAACGGTTCCACTACAGAGGACGAATCTTTTCGGCACGTTGCGTCCAATAGCAAACGCCCAAAACATCAGTCCCATCTGTAGCCTTGTAATACAGAGTCTAGACGGGTAGTCAGTACCAAGATAAGTCATTCGATGGCTAAGGATCCAGATCTCTTTTGATCTAGCTACCTCCAGCTACCTAGCTAGCCTCGGATTATGCCTTACGGGCAACGCTGGCATACCGAAGGGAAACGACAGAAAGTGAATTACCTACAAGCTATGAGACTGGTTCAATCAAATTCTTACTGCTTAGAAGCTGCAGCTTCCTCTTACCTAGTCGCACGTTATATAACCTTAGTGAACCCATCCGCCTTTGGGGAGAATTCCTTTCTCGTCTTCCGATGTTTTCATAGCACACAAGCTAAATACCTACGTTGCAATAGTTACCTTAGCTGCCTACCTTAGGTGTGCCTCCGGTATGGTACAGATAACCATCTTTTCATAATACAGGTAGTTAGTCCTTGTAGAATGTTGCTAAAAATTCCCAACAGTTCCAAGGTTCGAACCGCCCGCCCGCCCATTGTCCGCCTTGTTTTTCATTGGCCATAAATGTCTCATAAGCTGGCCCGGTATTATTCCATATCCCGCCCATTGCGACTCCGCGTCCGACCCGAGGGGTTCCTAGACGCCATACCTCTGCAGCTTTTCGCACAGGTGTGTCTCGGGGCGATGATAATCGTCATCTTTGGGGTACGTTTTCAGGATAGACGGACAGCTTACAGTGGCAAAAATCCTGCCCAACCCCCAGGGTCTTCCCTGAAAAGTCTTTCCTTAAACTGATCAACACGGGGTGTTTGCGTCTAAGTCGTGCATCTCATTCGTATTACCTGGGGGCCGGTACCCATCTCTGCCGGCAGAGAGGAAAGGTATTCCCCGTGCAACCCTCTCTCAAGATGCTGCCGGGAATGCCCGCCCAGCACCGCCGAGACCTAGATTTCCGTGTGCAGCTTTACTATATTATTATTACCACCGTTAGTCAGCCTCTGCAGCCATTGACGTATCAGCGATGCATACAGTTTCCTGCGTCTTATTGGTTCCCAAGATGCGCGTCGGGATGTATCCTTCTTCGTGATGTTACCTATGTCATACGGACCCTGCTTGGGCTGAGACCCCTTCCCTCGGGGTCAAGACAAGTCGTCGATAGATCCACTGCCACATAGTTTGCCTCACTTCTTTTTGGTAAGATGCTGCATGAGACTGAGTTTTAGTTTAAGTGTTAAGATGGACGGTTGCACGCGGACCTTCTCTTTCGCCTCACGCTGTGTGTATATAAGACGGCACATCTGTAGATCGATCGAAACTGCTCAACTTCAAGCTTACGGTTCATAAGTTCACATCAATGCTTATACGTTCCTGCGATCAAGTCTCTCAGGGCTCCCAATCGTCTTCTTATCGTCAGTCAAAATCCAACATGGCACCCTCGACCATGGTCTTCGATTACAGGGGACAAATAATAGGCAAGTACCTTGCAAATCGTTACTCTCTGACTACCTAACCTAGAGGTAGCCATTCATTCACTAACACATATTTCTAGACAACTGCGAGTTTTTCTTGGCAAAGCATGACGTTGTCTCCGTAGTCACCGTCAAGCATGTTCTAGGAGACTTCAAAGCGTATGCAATTCGGTCCAACCAGAGCTCCCGGGAAGCGCTTCTCTCCTCCGACTCCCGTTCTACTCCTCTGCTTGCCGTCGAATCGCTGCATACCAAGTCATGCGAAGCCGTCCAGCAATTCATCAACACCAACGGTTTCTCATATCCTCCAGACCTAAAGAAGACCAGGTTCGACGACGACGACGACGAGGATGACGATGACGAGGATGAGGATGAGGAAGACGGGAATGATGAGGATGATATAGCACCCATCTTCTCCAATCTCCTATCTGATCATCCTGCACCACCAACGGCTGCCACATCTTACAGGAGCAGCTCAGATGGTGAGGTCAAAATGACGCCTGCCTCTTCCACGGTTCCCATCACTCATGGCCGCGAGGTCAGGGACGAGAGGAGTAATAATATCAGCAAGCCCCGTACCAATCCGCCGCCACCACCACCACCGCCAGGCCGACAGTCTCCAGAAGCACTGATTTTCCCAAATACCAAGCCCCCCTACACGCTTTCTCAGGCAGAGGAGCTAGTGATGGAACTTATTAACGGCCCCCTATCCATCTGCCTCCCCCGTGGCTCCGGCCCGCCCCCGCCCCCGCAGCCCACATACAGCTCGACCACACCGGCCCCCAGGCCCCAACCTGCCTCTGCCTCTGCCTCTGTCCCTGTCCCTGTCCCTGCCCCTGTCCCTTCTTGGCCCCCAGCCTCGCGCGGCATGTCTGCCCCTCCGGTAAACTACCCACCCGCCCACCTGCGTAGCATGCATCCTCCTCGCCAACAAGCCAACAACAATAACTTCCCATCCATGGTGGTACCACCACCGCCGCCGCCGCCTCCGCCGCCGTCGCAGCTGTCGCAGCATCCACGCGGTCACCCCGTCATAGCAGCAGCAGCAGCAGCTAACCCGCGCCTGTATGACATCGCGCTGACGATCCGGTGGCTGGGCCACGGCGAGGCACGGGTGCTCGCGAGCTGCAGGGCCAGCGTACAGGCGCTCAAGAGCACGGCGGTGACGTACGTGACGCGGTACGCGTCGGCCTTCGACCGGGACGGCTCGCCGCCCAACAGGAACGGGAGCGGGCACGGGAGCGGGAGCGGGAACGGGAACGGGAACAACGCCAAGTGGCAGGGGACCGTGCGGCTCCGGCGCGCGAGCATCCGGAACCTGCACGGCGAGGAGTACGACTTGAACATGGAGCTGTACCAGGAGGACGACCTGACGCGGTTTTGTGGCGGGAGGGGGATTCCGAGGTTTGAGGTCGAGGTGGAGGATCAGGCGGAGGAGGGGGAGAGGGCGAAGGCGAGGGCGATTTGAGAAGATGGCGGAGGGGATGCGTTACAGATAGGTACCTAATACAGGGAAATTTTACCTAGGCCCTGGGAGGTTAGAGAAAAGTGTTGAAGATTTGGTCACTATCGAGGGGGGGGGGGGCGGCGCGGCGGGGGGGGGGGGGGGGGGGGGGGGGGGGGGGGGGGGGGGGGGGGGGGGGGGGTGGGG